TTGTGAATATGTGCTAGAAAATGATAGTATGATTGGTGTGGTTGCTGGAATTGATTGGAATGCCCAAAGGTCATATTTCTTTATATGAGTTTACATAGTCTTATTGATACCTCTTATGTTGATACTTAAAAGCTCTTTATTCTTAATTGTTTATATATGTTATGAACATTATCTCTTTATATTAATGTTATAGGACTTTCTAGTGTTTTTACTTTTTCTGTTTAGTCTATATCATACGAGCGTAGCTTGAAGGATATCTGATATGATCCTTTTACCAGAATGAGGAAGGAAAACAAACTTCATTAGTAATGATATAATTATTAATAGGATTGTAAGTTTACAGTTTTAATGTGTTAGTAAATAAGTAAATTTATATAATATTATGAATAAGTTCTTAAATAAAAAGAGTTGATCATATAATAATACATCAAAATTATAAATTTACAATCTTGAAAGACATTGCAATAACTATATCATAACAAATTCTTTTTCTAATTATTTTCCTTTGTACTGCCCCAGTTTTGCTCAGTAGCTCTCACAAAAGTGCTAGCGCCATTATCATATGATCTCTATATTCTCAATACTAATAAATAAAAACTCTTAGCTAAGTGTTTTTTTTTTTTTTTAATGAAACTATGATTGTATTAATAATTTAAAATAATTATAATGTAAATTATATCTCACCATATAGGTTGTGCAATAAATATAAAATAAATTAGGAAAGACATAAAGAGTTATTGCTCTTTACAAATAGAATCATTAAGTACTGAGAGCCTCTAAATATTAGATATCAATAAGGCTATATAAATTATAAAGATAGAGAAAGATTATTCTAGAGCTGCCTTTTCGCTATTGATAACCACATCTATTTTACCATTCAATTTTAATACAGGAAATTAAAAGACATGATAATGTAGTGTCTCAGGGTATTATAATGCTCTGTCCAGACTCAGATGAGCTCCTAATCTGTAGATGGATGAAAGACATCCTCCTGCATTGCTATAAGCCTCTAACATTGCCAGACTCATCCAGCCTCACCTTGGCCATCCTGTTCCACAAGTCCAGTAGGGACCGTCTTCCTCTTCCCTTTCCCCTCTTTTCTCTTGCTGAGAGAAATTAGCGAATTTCATCCAAACCTCTTCCAAGTTTTTCGTGATGCATGGCCTTCATTCTGTGCTATTTTGGCAAGGTGCCGAAAGGGTATGTCTTCTAAAGGAGAGGCCAAAGCCTGTTGCCCCAAGAAGCTGCCTTCTTGCTCTGTTCCTTTGCTTGTATCCATAGTCTTCTTGCCATTAGACTGTTGTTCCTTGTGATCCAGTTGGTCTTCATCAAAACAATTGCCTTTGTTGCTCTAATTTCCTTGCACTCCTGATCACCCACGGAAGATGCTGCCGCCGTTGGATTAACAAGTTGCTGGTCCTTATTAGTTGGGAGCCTTCTGTAGGGGACGCCACCAGCTTAGTATCTGCCAAAACAATGTCCTCGAACTCTTGTGGCCCCTAGTAGTTCTCATGCTCTGCCCTCAACCAGGTTCCATGTGGCTGAGGAACTTTTTCCCCTATCTCTTTTAGTTTAAAGCCAATCTCACAATCAAAAAACAACATGCCCCATACATCAGCAAATAAAACAAAAATCTAGCAATCGTTCATATTTAATCCTTAGTCTTCTAGTTTTTGTGGCTGAAATTCTCACATCCTTGAAATGCCTCAGCAAGCTACACACTTCCAAATTGATTCTGACCCTTAATGCCTTAGCGAAAGACTCATCCACCTCAAGGACCCTCCCCATGCTTCCTCCAATCCGCCGTCCTACTACTTCGCCATGGAGCCCACAGGGAAGGCCGTAGAATTGAACCCAAAAAGGAGACACTAAGAAGTCATAGTTTTCAGGAGTCAGTGATTTATCAAAAAGTCTCAAAATAATCAGGGAACAATCAAAATTACAAGGCAATTTTTTGCGTGATTCTATCCAAATCATAACTGTTTGCGAATTGGAATAAAAAAAATTTTCTCACTTGCCTCTTTGACTTGTACAGTAGATCTGATTTTCCATTGCGCTTTATAGGCCTGTGAGGTTAACCCTTCTAAGTAAGAACCATTCCTATTAAACACAGTGATTCATTTGAGGAGATTGAACTATTCCAGGTCTCATGGGATAATTTAGTGTTTTCTTCTTTGGAGATCTGTATTCGCCCTAGGAATGAGCCAAGTTCTTTGGTCTCTTTCATCATGGATGTTGCTGGTTTGTTGTGGCCCTTATGGCCTGGTGAATGGTAGATGCAGTGAGGGTGCGAGTGAGACACTGGCGTGCAGCTTTGGTGATATCGAGAGGGAGAAGGAGAATAGAAAGAGGCTCCTATTTGGATGGGTTTTGTCCTCACATTTGATAGATCCCACATGTACCTTGTTCCTTGGTTATCAAGTCTTGGGTTTCAATAGGTAGCTCAAGTCCGTCAAATATCACCTAGGTTTCTTCCTGTTGTGCTTAGCTTTCTAGGTCTTAAGCACTTCCTTGTGAGATCAGGAGAGTTGAAGTAGGACTCCACTCAATTAGTTAACTTTTCAAGAGCTTTCTCAACCGTACCTAAGGTGGTATTAGGTACATTTTAACTAGAATCTAAATTTACGTGAACCACGAAAATTATGATATGTGTAGGTTGCGTATTTGATAATATGATGGAATAATTAAGGTTTTGTTTGATAATACGTCAATTCTTAATAGTTTAACTTTTGGTTTTTATGTCTTTTTAATATTATAAAAATATATAAAATGTTAATTAAAATAAATGTTGAATATATTAAATATATTTTATATATTCTTAAAATGTTAAAGGACTAAAAAAACCTATAACTGCAGTTACAACCTAGTACTCCTAAACCAAAGCAAACCTAAATTACATCATAGAGAGTAGTTTTATATTTTTTAGATAAATCAAAATTTATTAAATTTGGAGTATAAGAAGTGCTCTTCCCTATACCCAATGTCTACACAGGGAATAAAGGTTACATGTAAAATCTCC